CCTGGTAATACTGCAGCATCCTTTTTACCTGTGATTCTAATTTCATACTGTTGTGTGAATGACACAGCATTTTATTTTCATTTTTTTATTTTTTTATCCTCACCCAAGGACATTTTTCCATTTTTTTGTTCAGATAGAGTGGGAGGGAGAGAGAGGAAGAACAGAGAGAGAGAGAGAGAGAGAGAGACATCGATGTGAATGGGACACATAAAGTGGCTGCCTCCTGCAGGTCCCAACCAGGGCCAGGGACAAACTGCAACCGAGGTACATGCCCTTAGCGGAACCGAATCTGGGTCTCTCGGGACCGCAGGCCTATGCTCTAACTGCGGAGCCAAACCGGCCAGGGCAAGACACAACATTTTAATTTGACTTTCCTAGCTCAATCAGGTTTCTAGAGGACATATAGAAGGTTAAATTAAGCAAATATCTGTTCTGCTTGCTCTATATCTTTTTTGTTAAATTCTCCAATCTCTGAGACTGAAAACATATATAAATTGGGATGACAGATAGATTTGTACATGTTCCCAAGAACAGAAGCAAGGGATGTGTGCCAAGAGTATGTCAGTAGCTCCTTGATGTAGTGGAAGAAAGATCTACCTGAAACTCTGAAACTTCTGAAATTGAGTAAAAATAAACTTAAAACCAAGGAAGAAATGTTATTTCTGCAGGATATCTGATCTGAAAATTATTTTAAACAAATTATCAGTGGAGTTAATGATAAACCTATTTGGGTTATTGAAGATAGTGATGTATTGGTTTGATCTCTTACTTTTATTACTAATATTCTTCTAAATTAATATGGTAACATAAAGGCAAAGAGTGTCCTAATGTGTCTCAACATACTTATGTGAACATTACTTTTTTCATGTCATTCAACACTTGTTCAGTGATAGGTCTGTGGAAAGAGAACACGCTCTTTAGGATCACAGTTATTAAACTTTTAAATTATTGAAACTGTCACTTAAAATTTCTGTCCATGAGAATCAAAATTATTATACATCCACCTCAAATAATTCTTTTATTTGGAAAAATACAATTTAAAAATACTCTGACATGGTAGCTATTGTAAGCAAATGTTTTTTAAATATAGTTAATTGAAAGCAATACAGGACACTTTAGATTATTGTAATCAATATGGCAATGATGCATTCTAGTTCCTAAATATGGGGAGATGGATTAACACTTTCTAGCTAAATATAAGCTCGTATTTAAGACCAAATAAAGCTTTTTGCTTATCTCCAGTATTTCCCGTTGTGGGCAATTACTCTTAAAAGAAAAACAATGATTGCTTCTGGGTGGCAGAACTGAGCAGTGGACTATTGTCACTTTATAGTCTTTCATACTTTTTTTGACTTTTGAAAGAAATACTTTTATCTATTCAAATTTATGTAAAATTTTAAAATATAAGAAGATATACTTTTGATCACGTGAAGAACTGTGTTTCATAATGAAAACGGAATCACTGAAGAATAAGATTCAAATATTTTAGCTGTTAACATCCAAAGAAAAAGATTTCCTGAAATGGAGAAAAACTAGGCTGCGGTTCCACATGAGGCCTCTGGGCGCCGCTGTAGGCCAGTGCAGGACCAACTTTGGCTCCCGGGATTCTTCAGCCTCTAGGCTAGGATTTCCTGCGTAGCCACCAACGTAGAAGGAAACCGACTTACACACTAGGGCTCCTGACTGCACAGACTCACCCAGCACAAGCGGATTCCCAGCCCAAGACTAGGGCTCAGGCTGTCCTGGGTTGAATGTTCTTCCAGTGCGATAGTGTGCACTTTCTTCAACTGTAAAGATTGGGACCCAAAGAAAATAAGAGCGCACAATGGGAGGGAGCTGCGCGCAGAGACGCGGAACTGGCCGGCTGCAGGTACTGTTTCCTTTCCTGCTGCTTTTGTTCTACCGTGCACTCTGTGAGCCTATTCGATATTCTATTCCTGAGGAGCTAGCCAAGGGCTCAGTAGTGGGGAACCTCGCCAAGGATCTAGGGCTCAGTGTCGTGGAGGTGTCCTCTCGGAAACTACGAGTTAGCGCGGAGAAGCTGCTTTTCAGTATAGACGCGGAGAGCGGGGACTTACTTGTGAAGGACCGAATAGATCGTGAGCAGATTTGCAAAGAGAGAAGATGTGAGTTACAGTTGGAGGCGGTGGTGGAAAATCCTTTAAATGTTTTTCATATCATTGTGGCTGTTGACGATATTAATGACCACGCCCCTCAATTCCATAAAGATGAAATAAACTTAGAAATCAGTGAATCTGTCAGCCCAGGAATTGGAACAATTCTTGACTCTGCAATAGATCCTGATATTGGTATGAATTCACTTAACAAATACCAACTAAGTCCTAATGAATATTTCTCATTAGTGGTGAAAGACAATCCCGATGGTGGCAAATATCCAGAATTAGTATTGAAGAAGAACCTGGACCGAGAAATGCAGACCACACACCACTTGGTGCTAACAGCCTTGGATGGTGGAAATCCGCCACAAAGTGGCACTGCTCAGATCCGAATCTTGGTGGTGGATGCCAATGATAACCCCCCTGTGTTCAACCAAGATGTGTATAGAGTCAGCATTCCAGAAGGGGTGCCCCCAGGCACCTCTGTGCTGAGAGTGAGTGCCAGTGACCAAGACGAAGGGTTCAACGCAGAGGTCACCTACTCTTTCCTTGGTGTGGCTGATAAAGCACAGCAAGTGTTCTTTCTGGATTCTGCAACAGGAAACATTATAACTCATCAACCCTTGGATTTTGAAGAAGTAGACAGATATATAATGGATGTAGAAGCAAAGGACCGAGGATCTCTCTCTACACGGTGTAAAGTAATTATAGAAGTCCTAGATGAAAACGACAACAGCCCAGAAATAATAATCACTTCTCTCTCTGATCAGATTTTGGAGGATTCCCGTCCAGGAATGGTTGTGGCCCTCTTCAAAACAAGGGACTGGGATTCCAGGGAAAATGGAGAAGTCACATGTAATTTAAGTAGAAATGTTCCATTTAAGATTCATTCGTCTTCTAGTAATTACTACAAGCTTGTAACAGATGCGGCCCTCGACCGGGAACAAACCCCGGAATATAATGTCACCATCACAGCCACAGACAGAGGCAAGCCACCCCTCTCCTCCAGCACTACCATCACCCTGCACATCACCGATGTCAACGACAACGCTCCAATTTTCCAAAAGTCAGGCTACCTAGTCCATGTGCCAGAAAACAACCCGCCCGGGGCCTCCATAGCGCAGGTCAGCGCCTCCGACTCCGACCTGGGACCCAATGGCCACGTCTCCTACTCCATCGTGGCCAGCGACCTGGAGCCAGGGGCGTTATCGTCTTACGTGTCCGTGAGCGCGCAGAGCGGGGTGGTGTTCGCGCAGCGCGCCTTCGACCACGAGCAGCTGCGCGCCTTCGAGCTGACTCTGCAGGCCCGCGACCAGGGCTCGCCCGCGCTCAGCGCCAACGTGAGCCTGCGCGTGTTGGTGGGCGACCGCAACGACAACGCGCCAAGGGTACTGTACCCGGCGCTGGGGCCCGACGGCTCGGCGCTCTTCGACACCGTGCCACGCGCAGCACAGCCTGGCTACCTGGTCACCAAGGTGGTGGCGGTGGACGCGGACTCAGGACACAATGCCTGGCTGTCCTACCACGTGCTGCAGGCCAGCGAGCCTGGACTGTTCAGCCTAGGGCTGCGCACTGGCGAGGTTCGCACAGCGCGTGCTTTGGGCGAAAGGGACGCGGCCCGCCAACGCCTACTGGTCGCTGTGCGCGACGGAGGAAAGCCGCCCCTCTCAGCCACCGCCACGCTGCTCCTGGTCTTTGCTGATAGCCTACAAGAAGCACTGCCCGACATCAGCGACCGCCCTACACCATCTGACCCCCAGGCTGAACTGCAGTTTTACCTTGTAGTAGCTTTGGCCTTGATCTCCGTGCTCTTCCTCCTTGCGGTGATTCTAGCCATTGCTCTGCGCCTGCGAAGCTCTTCCAGCCCCCCCACTGGGAGCTGCTTTGGGTCTATTCTCTGCTCAAAGTCTGGACCAGAGATTCCCCCCAACTACAGTGAGAGGACTTTGCCCTATGCCTATAATCTGTGTGTGCCTGGGAATCAAACTAACCCGGAATTTAATTTTCTCATGTCTGCTGATCATTGTCCAGCCAAAAAAGATACTCTCAACAAAGATAGCTCTTTAGCACTATTGGCTAGCATTCTAACTCCTAGTGTTGAAGCAGATAAGACTTTTAAACAGGTAAGTAGTTAAAACAATGCTTTTTATATGTCATTATATACCAACATAGCGCTTTTATTTTAAGATTCAATCTTAAAATAAGATTCAATCTCTTGATAGAGTTTCTAAAATAAACCTTTGGTCTGATCTATTCAAATGCATTTTAAGATAAATATATAGAGAAATCTCAGGTGAAATTTTCATGAACTAGAAAACCTTTTAATTAAGGGTATGGAATACAGGTATATTTAATATCATAATATTTTAAATAACCCTAGTGCCATCCGAATTTTCTCAAGCGTTTCATCTTTATTTTTCTCAAAAAAAACCAAAACATTGGTAAGAATTACAGTTATAATTTTGTTGGGACCGTGCTAGTTCCACATTCACAAATGATCTTCTCTTCAGTTGGTAAAAATTAATAGAAACCAAATCTAACCTGCAAGTTTTCAGTTACAGTAATATTTGATAACTTTTGAAAAATTAAGCAAACCCTTGTAATAATTACTCTTTCCAAAAGTGCTAGGTAAACCTTTAACATCACATTATATAACTCTTTATTGTCTGCAATTTAAGCTTTTATGCTCTACGAATGATTCTCGAAGAGGTGAGTATATTTATTAATTTGTGGAACAGGTACATTCACTGGGTTTTCTTACTCGTTGCAATAATAAGTTTGGACTCTAGGCGCCGCTGCTCACCAACTAGGGGATGGGAAGCTGCGAGCTACAGAATCACTCCCTCCCCTACCTCTATTTAATACAAAGCAGTGTGAGATGGATACTCACAGATCCTGATGCTGGAAACTTAAAAGTACGGACTTCTCTTCTCTCTAATGTATTTTGGATGCTGTCATCCTGGGACCTCATAGATACATAGGCTGAATCAGGACAAACCGGCTCAAGAAACCGCGGAATATCGGCTCAGCCACCGCCATGGCGAATCAGCAACTACGCCTGGACCGCAGCGGGCTGGTCCTACTGTACATTTTCCTGGGGAAGCTGCGGGAGTTTGGGGCCGAGCAGATCCGATACTCGGTGCCAGAAGAGACAGACAAAGGCTTCTTCGTGGGCAATATTTCCAAGGACCTGGGGCTGGAGCCCTGGGAGTTGACGGAGCGCCGCGTCCGCATCGTCTCCAGAGGAAAGGCGCAGCTTTTCGCTCTGCATCCGCGAAGTGGCAGCTTGATCACTGCAGGTAGGATAGATCGGGAGGAGCTCTGTGAGACGATGTCCTCCTGTTTTCTTAATATGGAGATACTTGTGGAAGATACCCTCAAGATTTACGGAGTGGAAGTGGAAATAATGGATATTAATGATAACGCCCCCAGCTTCCGGGAGGAGGAAGTAGAGATTAAAGTCAATGAGCACGCAACTCTGGGATCGAGATTTCCCCTTCCTCATGCTAGGGATCCAGACGTAGGTATGAACTCCCTACAGCGCTACCAGCTCAGCCCTAATAGTTACTTTTCCTTGCAAGTGCGAAGCAGAACCGATGGGGCCAACAATCCGGAACTAGTGCTGGAGGAGACCCTGGACCGGGAGAAAGAGGCTGCTCACCTCCTCCTCCTTACAGCCTTAGATGGAGGAGATCCTATCCGCCAGGGCACTGTTCCCATTCGTGTGGTGGTCCTGGACATAAATGACCATATCCCAAAGTTTACACAGTCTGTTTATCGAGTGAGTGTTCCTGAGAACCTCAGCTCTGGATCTCCGGTGCTCATGGTAAACGCAACTGATCCAGATGAGGGAATCAACGGGGAAGTGGTGTATTCATTCAGGAACATGGAAAGCAAAGCTTCTGAAATATTCCAGTTGGATTCTCGAACTGGAGAAGTCTCAATACAGGGGCCTCTGGATTTTGAGAAATATAGGTTCTATGAGTTGGAAATTCAAGGTCAAGATGGTGGAGGTTTCTCCACCACTGCTAAGATGATGATCACAGTTGTGGATGTGAATGATAATGCTCCAGAAATAACTATCACATCTTCTACTAACTCAGTGCTGGAAAACTCTCCTCCAGGTACAGTAATTGCTCTTCTAAATGTTCAAGATCAAGACTCCGGAGAAAATGGTCAAATTTCTTGTTTCATTCCTAACAACCTGCCTTTTAATTTAGAAAAAACTTACGGAAATTATTACAAGTTGATAACAGACAGAGCGCTGGACAGAGAGCAGGTCCAGAGCTACAATATAACATTGACAGCTACAGATCAAGGAAATCCACCCTTGTCTACAAAAACTCACATTTTATTGAATGTAGCAGATGACAACGATAACCCACCCACTTTTGCTCACTCCTCTTACTCAGCCTACATTCCTGAAAACAACCCTAGAGGAGCCTCCTTCTTCTCAGTGACCGCATTTGATTGGGACAGCAAAGAAAATGCCAGGGTCACTTACTCCCTGGTCCAGGACACCATCCAGGGAGCTCCCCTGTCCTCCTACATCTCTATCAACTCAGACACTGGTGTCCTGTATGCACTGTGCTCCTTCGATTATGAGCAGTTCCGAGACCTGCAGCTACAAGTGATAGCACAGGACAGTGGGGACCCTCAGCTCAGCAGCAACGTGTCCCTGAGCATATTTGTACTGGACCAGAACGACAATGCACCAGAGATCCTGTACCCTGCACTCCCCACTGATGGCTCCACCGGTGTGGAGCTGGCACCCCGTTCCGCAGAGCCTGGCTACCTGGTGACCAAGGTGGTAGCTGTGGACAGAGACTCAGGCCAGAATGCCTGGCTGTCCTACCGCCTGCTCAAGGCCAGCGAGCCAGGGCTCTTCACGGTGGGGCTGCACACAGGCGAGGTGCGCACTGCGCGTGCCCTGCTGGACCGAGATGCCCTCAAGCAGAGCCTAGTGGTGGTGGTCCAAGACCACGGCCAACCTCCACTCTCGGCCACCGTCACTCTCACTGTGGCTGTAGCCGACAGTATCCCAGAGGTCCTGGCTGACCTGGGCAGCCTGGAGTCTCCCGCTAACCCCAGTGATTCGGGCCTCACGTTATACCTGGTGATGGCGGTGGCTGCAGTCTCCTGTGTCTTTCTCGCCTTTGTCATCGTGCTGGTGGCGCTCAGGCTGAGGCGCTGGCACACAATGCGCCTGCTCCAAGCTTCAGGAGGCGGGTTGGTGGGCGTGCCCGCTTCGCACTTTGTGGGCGTGGACGGGGTGCGGGCGTTCCTGCAGACCTATTCCCATGAGGTCTCCCTCACCGCGGACTCGCGGAAGAGTCACCTGATCTTTCCGCAACCCAACTATGCTGACACTCTGATCAGCCAGGAGAGCTGTGAGAAAAGCTGTGAGAAAAGCGAGCCTCTCTTGATAGTTGAAGATTCAGTTACCGGTTTAGGCAAATGTAACTCTACAGATAATCAGGTGAGATTTTTTTTTCCTGCTTCCCCATTACTAGTGTCTCTGCACAAGTCTATCAAGTGGCTTTTTGGTAGCCTATTATAAAAACTGTTGGGGGGTGGCATATTCAGTTCATACAGACTTAGAGCAATACATGTGAGTTTGTGTACTTTATCTTCAATCAAGCTACCATCTTTTTTTTTTTTTCCCAGAAAGGTTTTGTGAAAGTCTTATTTATTTATTTTTAGTCCCACTATATTTTCTTTGGAATTCAAAGGCCCAGTTTTGCTATCATGGCTTGCTTTATAGTAAATTGAAGTTTAGTGATATGTTTCTATTAGTATCTGTGGCTATCAATATAAACTGGTTATGATTCACAAACACTTTTTATTTATTTCTCTATTTCAATTTTGCATTGCCTCCATGATTATAATTATATTCTACCATAATTTGCTTTACTTCTAATGCTCTGATTTGACCCTGTTGATTCAATAGCATAATCTTTTTTTAAAATCTATGTATATACACGCTGTCACACATATTTGCACATGTAAGCCTTCCTCTGAGCACAAAACAATTAGTTTCATTTTTGATGACTGGTAATATGTTTAGATCCTATTGATAATTTCAACTCTGCTTTATTTATTTATCCCACCAAAACAGACATGTTGACTGCCTTTTAATTTCTAGATTCTCTTGTGAGAGAAAATGTAGAACACTTTTTTTTCTTAAGTTCTAGACTTTTTTTTTTTTAATCCTCATGGGAAGACATTTTCCCATTTTGGTTCAGATAGAGTGAGAGGGAGAGAGCAATAAACATCGACCGGAGAGAGCGGAGAGAGACACATGGATTGGGGTCTCCCGCCATACCCGGACCAGGGCCTGGGACAAACAGCAATGAGGTACATACGTGCCCTTCACCAGAATCAAACTCTGGAGACTCATTGGTCCAAGGGCTGATGCTCTAACCGCTGAGCCAGACATCTTTTCTATCTCTACAGTTAAGTCATTAGATAGTTCTGAAGAAATAATTGAATTGTCAAACTGGTAGTATTTCCTTTTATTCTTTTACTTGTACTTTAGTGTCTGTGTTGAATATTTTTAAAAATGTGAAGTCACAGAAATACTTAATTTTGATCCAGTGCTTCTCAAAAAGTTATTTTCAAATCTGTTAAACATGTTTACATTTTTTCAGATTTATTTATATGGAATAGTTTGTGAATATAAGCGATGAAGTGGATATTTAGACTTTATAGGAGACTGATTTAGCTGGCATTTCTCTGGAAATTTCTGTTTATTTTCAATATATCAACAAGTTATGGATTCCCTCTTTATGTCCTTTATAAACTCATTTTGTATTATATCTAAGTATATTCAATTCTTATATTTATAACCAACTTGTTACTGAAGCCCTAAGAGTTACCTATTAACACACCTGTTATCTTAACTGAAACGGGGTCTAGGAAAGCCAAGTGAGGAGAAGATTCCTATCTAGGGTATTTGATCACAGGAATCATCTACTGCTGTCCAAATTACTTGCATATTTATGTTCCCTTTCAAGTTTTCCTTTCTCTTTTAGGAATTGGCCTTAATATCATTAACTATACATAGAGTAATGTTTGGGCGAAAATAATTTCAGCTGTAGGAAAGGGAAGTCTTTAACAGATGCCTAACTTGCCTTGAAGTCAAGAAAATGTTAGTGTGTTTGGAGCATCTAGGGATAGAATTATGTTTATGAAATACCAAACTGAGAAAAAAGATTTAATGCATTTTACTTGAACTGAAATTAGATGAATAAGAAAGATACGAGTTTTGCTGGGAGCAGGAGGTGTTCCACATTTTTAAAAAATGTAGTCTGAACTAGTTAGGAGCTGGCAACCAAGATCTTGGAAATAAAAAGAAAAGGTTGGCTTTAAAACTTGAGATTAAAAAGGTTATTTTAACTCAGAGGTAGTAATAAAGTTCTGTTAAGGTGGAACATACAGTCCAATTAAATGAAAGGATAGAAATTAGAACACTCTCACATTTCATGTCGTTAAATTCCTGTGGTAACCTACTAGGGTATACTTTTATACTGTTTATGATGTAAGTGTTAAACACTTAATAATCCCTTTCATAAATCTCTTTTATGAGTAACAAGGAAGGCTTGATGGCACTGGCCATTCTTATCCTGAGTACACTCTATATAGCTTTGAGTTTTCCTCTAGTTTCCTCTGATAAATGGAGGAGGGAAATCAATCTGCATGTAAGATTGAATCTAATACTGGGTATCATTTCATGGCTGTCAAAATTTCCCCATACCACTTGGTGGGGCTATTTTCTCTTATGGTCTTTGCTCTAAGTCTGGAGAGAAGACTTTGCTTTGTTCTCCAATATCTGCACTACCTCTGATTAGAAAAAGAGATTCTTTTCTCATTGGTGGGTTAATGGCTCTTCTGTAGGATCCCATCTCTAAGAAACTTTCTTTGGTAGTAAACACTGGAAAACAGACACAGCCAAAACTCACAAGTTACCTCCTTTCCTAGACGTCAATCCAACATAGCTGTCGGAATACCGAAGCCCATTATTTGCCAGGCTTCTGCCTGCAGTTTTTTAAACAAACTCTGGGCGCCGCTGTTGGCCAATGTGCTGCAAGAGCTGGAGTCCAGGATCCACCCGGTGTTTGCGCAGTCACAAAAGCCAGTAGAAAGGAGAGGGGCCCGGACTCCGGCTCACTGCTCTGCAAATCTGATTTCGGAATACAACTGGGATGCCTTCAAACAGGGAGCCTTGAGTTTTCTACGCGGTGGAAGTAGATATTTTAAACGCAATTTGTAGAGAAAGCATCTTCTCAACGCCTGAGGCTGCAGGAGGGCCGAGAAGGATGGCAAATAGGGAGAAGCAGAGGAGCAGTAACCTGCGGCGGCGGCAAGTACTCTTTCCCTTCCTGCTGCCTTTGTTCTGCGGGGCGCTCTCGGAGGAGATCCGCTACTCTATTCCGGAAGAAATGGCAAAGGGCTCAGTAGTGGGGAACCTCGCTAAGGACCTGGGGCTGCGTGTACGGGATTTATTGACCCGCAACCTTAGAGTTAGTGCAGAGAAGCAATACTTTACCATAAACACGGAGAATGGGAACTTACTTGTGAGTGACAGAATAGATCGGGAATCGCTCTGCCCCCAAAACCTTGTGTGTGTCCTGCCCTTAGAAATTGTAGCAGAGAATCCTCTAAATGTTTTTCACATAAACGTGATGATAGAAGATATAAATGACAATCCACCTCATTTCCCGCAAAATAGCATTGTTTTACAAATTAATGAACTTGCAATTCCAGGAACTCGGTTTGGCCTGGAGTCCGCTATAGATGCAGATGTAGGCCCTCACGCTCTCCAAAGTTACCAGCTCAGCTATAATGAGCACTTTTCTCTGATGGTGAAGGATAAAACTAAAGGTAAGAACACCCCAGAATTAGTGTTAGAAAAGCCCCTGGACCGGGAACAACAGAGCTCCCATCTCCTGCTCCTGACAGCGGTGGATGGGGGTGACCCAGTTCGAACTGGCACCACTCAAATCAGGATCGTGGTCACTGATGCCAACGATAACCCCCCAGTGTTTAGTCAGGATGTGTACAAAGTTAGCCTACGAGAGAACTTGCCCTCAGGCACCTCTGTGCTAAAGGTGACAGCCACAGACCAAGATGAGGGCATCAATGCAAAGATCACCTACTCCTTCAAAATACTAGGAGATATTGGAAATCTGTTTATGATAGACCATCAAAGTGGAGAAATTAAATCCAAAGACCTTATAGATTTCGAAATTAGTAGCAGTTATACCATAAGCATAGAAGCCAAGGACGGTGGAGGCATGGCCACTGAATGTAAAATTATACTAGAAGTTCTAGATGAGAATGACAATGCCCCAGAGGTGGTGTTCACTTCGGTGTCTAGTTCCATAACCGAGGACGCAGAGCCCGGGACTGTGATTGCTTTGTTCAAAACACATGATAAAGATTCGGGAGAAAATGGGGAGGTCACATGCCTCATAAAAGAGAAAGTTCCTTTTAGAATTCAATCTTCCGCCAATAATTACTACAAACTTGTAACAGATGAGGCCCTGGACCGGGAACGGACCCCGGAGTACAATGTCACCATCACAGCCATAGACAGAGGCAAGCCACCCCTCTCCTCCAGTAGAAGCGTCACCCTACACATCGGGGACGTCAACGACAACGCTCCGGTTTTCCAACAGTCCGCCTACCTGGTCCATGTGCCAGAAAACAACCCGCCCGGGGCCTCCATAGCGCAGGTCAGCGCCTCCGACCCCGACCTGGGACCCAACGGCCATGTCTCCTACTCCATCGTGGCCAGCGACCTGGAGCCAGGGGCGTTATCGTCTTACGTGTCCGTGAGCGCGCAGAGCGGGGTGGTGTTCGCGCAGCGCGCCTTCGACCACGAGCAGCTGCGCGCCTTCGAGCTGACTCTGCAGGCCCGCGACCAAGGCTCGCCAGCGCTCAGCGCCAACGTGAGCTTACGCGTGTTGGTGGGCGACCGCAACGACAACGCGCCAAGGGTTCTGTACCCGGCGCTGGGGCCCGACGGCTCGGCGCTCTTCGACACCGTGCCACGCGCAGCGCAGCCTGGCTACCTGGTCACCAAGGTGGTGGCGGTGGACGCGGACTCAGGACACAATGCCTGGCTGTCCTACCACGTGCTGCAGGCCAGCGAGCCCGGACTGTTCAGCCTGGGGCTGCGCACTGGCGAGGTGCGCACAGCGCGTGCTTTGGGCGAAAGGGACGCGGCCCGCCAGCGCCTACTGGTCGCTGTGCGCGATGGGGGACAACCATCCCTCTCGGCCACCGCCACGCTGTACCTGGTCTTTGCGGACAGCCTACAAGAGGCACTGCCAGATCTCAGCGACCGTCCTATGCACCCTGACCCCCAGACTGAGCTGCAGTTTTACCTAGTGGTGGCCTTGGCCCTGATCTCCGTGCTTTTCCTCTTGGCGGTGATTCTGGCCATTGCCATGCGCCTACGACGCTCCTCTAGCCTGGCTGCCTGGCGCTGCTTTCAGCGTAGTCTCTGTACCAAGAGTGGACCAGGGGTTTCTTCCAACTACAACGAGGGAACTTTGCCTTATTCCTACAATCTGTGTGTTGCCTCGGATTCTCAGAAAACAAGATTTAATTTTCTCTCTATGACGCCAGAAAGTGTCCCTCCACAAGATCTTTCTAATGAAGCATCTTTGGTAGTAAGTGTCACTGAGGAGAATAACAAGTTAAGCTCCATGTTTCTTCTACTCACATAAGTTTCAATGAATGCCTTTTATCTGCAAATAGTTTAATTTTCTTTATTAACTTTGAAGAGGAAAATGCACGAGAAAAGGCCTTTAAAAGGGACATAGTGATGATTCCATAATATACAGGTACATTTGCTATAAATTATTTGAATCCCATTGACTAGGTCAATTGTATGCCCTTTTCTCAAAGTCATCTGTAGATTTTTCCCAATTAAAAAATATTATTTTATGGTTGGCCTGCCAAACGTGCTTATCCTCGGAATATAAATATTTACATTCATAAAAGCGCAACAGTGAGAATATTTTCCTATATTTTGATGGGCTTCCAAATGTATTGCTAGTAATTTCTAGTATTTGGAATTAGGTGTGTTACCCAGAAAAAGGTAGGTTTATATTATTCTTTGGATTACTAATTTGCCTGCACATTCTTTTGAAATATAGTGTGTTAGTAGATTATAAAGTAGCATGTTTATTTCCAGTAAATGGAGGTTGGAATGCTTTGATTTTGTTCTTAAAATGTTAAATGTTAATGTGTCTTCTATTAACTTCCAGAGATTCTTATTTTTAGGTTTCCATATTATTGTGAAAACTTGCTTTTTACATTTAAATATCAACACCCCATTAAAGCAGTTCTTCCATTTAGGCAAATTTAGGTCTCTATGAAAAAATGTGCCCCAAATTATAGCTGAGAAATTTAAAATTATTGTATTATATGATTTCTCAGTCTAGAAAATTACTTGGGAGATGTCCCATAATAGATATGTGTGTGTGTGTAGGGGGGGGTATTGGTGATGTCAAAGCAGGTGCACTAAAATTAAAGATAAAATGACTGTGTATAGAAATTTCAAGTTCATTTGAAAACTCATGGGAAAATTAGAATATGCAGCTACAGAAAGCAGTCTCAAGAAAATTGGCTTGTGTGAAATTTTTTTAGGGAAATTAAAAGAAGTTCCCTGAAATTTCATTTAAAATAAATACTGTAGTTTTAATCGGCTCCACTTCCATCCCTATTTGAAGAACAGTAGGTGGAGCTATTTGAGGTCCAAAAACCAACAATCCTCTCTCGGAGTCCAAGCTTGTGTAGTAATTGGTTAGGACTCTGAGCGCCGCTGTTCACCAATCAGGGAGAGAAAAGCAGAGCGATCCTGCTTGCGGTGCATGCGCCTGAAGCACAAAGCACAGATAGAAACTAACCATCTCCTCCTGGACTGTGAGGAAACTGAACGGAGTAGCTCTGGTCCCCCAGCTGACGGATTCTAAGGACGGAAGTGGTGATCCAGACATCGGTGGTTAAGGGAAGAATTGGAAATAATTCTCCAGCAAAGTGACAATGATTCCTGCGCGACTGCACCAAGACTGCAAAGGGCTGGTCCTGCTGGGAGTTCTCCTGGGGATTCCGTGGGAAACTGGATGCACCCAAATCCACTATTCAGTTCCCGAGGAGCTGGAAAAAGGATCCAGGGTGGGCAACATCGCCAAGGATCTGGGGCTGGAGGCCGGGCAACTGGAAGAGCGCGGAGTCCGTATCGTCTCCGGAGGTAGGACGCAACATTTCGCTCTGAACGCGCAAAGCGGCAGCTTGGTCACCGCGGGCAGAATAGACCGGGAGGAGCTCTGTATGGGGGCCATAAAGTGTCAACTAAATCTGGAGATTCTGATGAAAGATAAAGTAAAAATATATGGGGTGGTGGTAGAAGTGAAAGATATTAATGATAATGCCCCCTACTTTCGGGAAGAAGAATTAGAAATAAAAATAGGTGAAAACGCAGCTACTGGGATGCAGTTCCCCCTTCCCCACGCTTGGGATCCGGATATCGGGAAGAACTCTCTCCAGAGCTACGAGCTCAGTAATAATACTCACTTCTCCCTGGAGGTGCAAAGCGGAACGGATGGTAATAAGTACCCGGAATTAGTGCTGGAGCGCGCCCTGGACCGCGAGGAAAAGGCGGTCCACCACCTTGTTCTCTTGGCCTCTGATAGAGGCGACCCAGTGCTCACTGGCACCGCGCGCATCCGCGTGACGGTCCTTGATGTGAACGACAATGCACCAGCGTTTGCTCAGTCCGAATACCACGTGAGCGTTCCGGAGAACGTGGCGGTGGGCACTACGCTGCTCCTGGTAAACGCCACCGACCCTGACGAAGGAACCAATGCGGAAGTAATGTATTCTTTCCGGTATGTGGACAACAAGGCTGCCCAACTTTTCGAGCTAAATTGTAATTTAGGATCAATTTCAACAATAGGGGAGCTGAACCACGAGGAATCGGGATTCTATGAGATGGAAGTGCAAGCAACTGATAATGCAGGATATTCTGCACGAGCCAAAGTCCTTATCACAGTTTTGGATATGAATGACAATGCCCCTGAAGTACTTGTCACCTCTCTCTCCAGCTCCATTCTGGAAAACTCTCCGAGAGGGACATTAATTGCCCTTTTAAATGTAAATGATCAAGACTCTGGGGAAAACGGACAAGTGATCTGTTTCATCCAAGGGAATCTGCCCTTTAAATTAGAAAAATCTTATGGAAATTACTATAGTTTAGTGACAGACACACTCCTAGACCGAGAACTGGTCCCTAGCTACAACATCACAGTTACTGCCACTGACAGAGGAAATCCACCCCTGTCCACAAAAACGCACATCTTACTTAATGTGGCAGACACCAACGACAACCCACCCACCTTCTCTCATGCCTCCTACACAGCCTATGTCCCTGAGAACAACCCCAGAGGAGCCTCCATAGCGTCTGTGACTGCATATGACCCGGACTATGGAGAGAACGCCCAGGTCACTTACTCCCTGGTTGAGGACACCTTCCAGGGAGTTCCCCTGTCCTCTTACATCTCCATCAATTCCGACACGGGAGTCCTGTACGCACTGTGCTCCTTCGACTACGAGCAGTTTCGAGACCTGCAGCTACAAGTGATAGCGCATGACAGCGGCGACCCTGCACTCAGCAGCAATGTGTCACTGAGCCTGTTTGTACTGGACCATAATGACAACACGCCAGAGATCCTATATCCCGCCCTCCCCACTGATGGCTCCACCGGTGTGGAGCTAGCACCCCGCTCTGCAGAGCCCGGCTACCTAGTGACTAAGGTGGTGGCAGTGGACCGAGATTCAGGCCAGAATGCCTGGCTCTCCTACCGCCTGCTCAAGGCCAGCGAGCCAGGGCTCTTCGCTGTGGGGCTGCACACGGGCGAGGTGCGCACTACGCGGGCCCTGCTGGACCGGGATGCCCTCAAGCAGAGCCTGGTGGTGGCTGTTCAGGACCATGGCCAGCCCCCTCTCTCAGCCACAGTCACACTCACTGTGGCCGTGGCTGACAGTATCCCAGCTGTCCTGGCTGACCTAAGCAGCCTTGAGTCTCTCGCCAACCAAGACGACTCTGACCTCACATTCTACCTGGTAGTGGCGGTGGCCGCAGTCTCTTGCGTCTTCCTTGCCTTTGTCGTAGTGCTGCTTGCTCTCAGGCTGAGGCGCTGGCACACATCACGTCTACTCCAGGCTTCAGGAGGCGGGTTGGTGGGCGTGCCCGCCTCTCACTTTGTGGGCGTGGATGGGGTGCGGGCGTTCCTGCAGACCTATTCCCATGAGGTCTCCCTCACCGCGGACTCGCGGAAGAGTCACCTGATTTTTCCGCAACCCAACTATGCTGACACTCTCATCAGCCAGGAGAGTTGTGGGAAAAGCGAGCCTCTGTTGCTGCCAGGTGATTCGGTGTTTTCTAAAGATAATCATGCACTAATTCAGGTGAGTCCATGTCAAGTACTATTCTCTGAGCTTTGAACAAAATATTTTATTATAGGTAAGGAGTACATACAGTCGTCCTTCGTTTATGGCGGTTAGTCCGTTCCAGACTCTAACGGTTGCACCTGGCATTGAAGGATTCCTGGGGTACTTGAATACATAGGCCTACAGTCCATACAGTAATTTTCATTTTAATTGTAATACAGGGGAGTATAATTGACTCAGACCACCGAGCGCGCGCTGTATCATTTTCACTGTCTCGATCAACTTTTTAATGAATATATTTGAAAAAAACGCGATAGAATGAAGCCGTGAAAGTCGAAGCGCAAAGTGACGAGGGACGACTGTATTCCGAATTTATAAAACAGACATCAATCAAGTTATTTATACATGGCAGACACCAATGCAAACCCTGCCACTTTCCCTCAGGCCTTCCCTCATACCTTATTTATACAAATTTTTATGTATTTGTATATGTTATATATAAAAATTTGTATCCACCTTATAAAGTACTTGTTAATACTGTCTCTAATTTAATTTATGAACTATAAACTCTTCCTACTTCTAGTTGATCTCTTATTTCCCATTGGCCATGCAACAGTTTTTTATTGAACATCTGATGCCAATTTATCTGTTAAGAGCACACAAATTCTTCTAGAAGAGATAAATCTAATTCGATGAAAATGATCAATGATATTTAAAATAAACTTTTATAAATGAGTGACTTCAACTACACATTACATGGCTAACAAATTCATAAAGTACATTTAGTTTCTTATTAAGTGCAATGATTCCTTCTGGTTATGGGGGATGCAGACATTTATACTTTCTCAGTGTCCTAAGTTACTTCATGGTTTCAAATCATTCTTGAACTTCCAAATATGGTGAATTTATTTCTTACTTAAAACTTTCTCACTGAAATATGCAGATGGTATAAGTCTCATATGGAAAACTGAAGAAATGGTGTGTTTTTTTTTTCACCCCCATTATAGATTTTAGGAATACAGTATCAGTATGTGTTTCCAGGTTATATATTTCTTTTGCCCATTTTATCCACATTGATTATTTTAATGATGACTTTATGGAACAATGAGAGTTAACAAACTCTGTTTTGAGCCCATTTTTTGGTACTTTGTTGAATTTGCCATAATTATTTCTTCTTATGTTAAATTTCCCACAATTTTCACACCCATGGAAAATTTTCTGGAAAATTCACAGATTCTAAGTGTTTCCTGAAAAACTTATGCTTATTGTAGAATGTTGAATAGAAATTGAATGCTAAAGTACATTATTCATGAAAAATCATTACTGGAACCTGTGAGAAGCCTGGTTTCTTTTGGTGAATTCTGGTATAGGGTAGGGTATCATAACATCCTTATTATTTTCTCTCTTTATTTTTGCTTATCTACTTTGAAAAATATAATAGTTACTTAAAACCTAGACATACACAAGAGATTCAAAATCATTTAGAGGCCCTGGCCAGTTTGGCTCAGCGGTTAGAGCATCGGCCTGCGGTCCGGAGAGACCCGGGTTCGGTTCCCGCTAAGGGCATGTACCTCGGTTGCAGTTTGTCCCCGGCCCTGGTTGGTCGTGCGGGTGGCAGCCACTCGATGTGTCCCTTTCACATCGATGTTTCTCTCTCTCTCTCTCCCTCCTGCTCTATCTGAACAAAGAATGAAAAAGTGTCCTCGGGTGAGGATAAAAAAAAAAAAAATCATTTAGAGAAAGAAAGACAATGGCCCTAAAATGAGACAGTTACTGTTACTGAGATTCACGTGCCACTTTATGCTTTTTGACAACCAAGACAAAAACACAACAAAACAAACAAACAAACAAAAAACATAGTATGGTTCTATTGGGGTGTGGGAACTTTTTTTAAAAAAAGGAAGTTTTGAAGATATTAAATATGCAAACTTTATATTGACATTAAGTTACAAATGGATAATAAGTAGAGCTTTCTAAATAATATCAAGGGGAATAGAGGGCAATGTCACTCCCGATGTTTTGTAAAAGCTACCAAAATGTTTATCACAAGGCCAGTTTTCATGTGGTGGTCAGTTCCAAAGGAAAGTGGAACACACAGCAGAAATTATTTGGGAAGCTAACCTAGTATTGTCCAAATATGCTGACTTCTGTTCATTTAATGATAATCATTAAGAGCTAAGGCAATGAATAATCATGACCCATAGGCTATATCTCAAATATCAGTAATCTTTTTTTTTTCCTTACCCGAGGACATTATTGCATTTATCTTCAGATAGAGCTGGAGGGAAGGAGGTGGGAAGAGAGAGAGAGAAACATCGACGTGAGAGACACACATCTAGTGGTTGCTACCTACATGATCCCAACCGGGGCAAAGGACAAACTGCAACCGAGGCACGTGCCCTTAGCAGAACCAAACCTGGGACTCTACGGCCTGGTCCACAGGCCGTTGCTCCAACTGCTGTTCCAAACCAGCCAGGGCTCAAATATCAGTAATCTTAACTATGCTTCCAGTTTGAGTTAATAGGCTTCATTAAATGGTTTTTGAGAGAATGAATTAACAAATGTATGTGTTCTGGGGATTACTTGATATCAGTATTCTAAAATGTAATATAGAAAAATAGCAGCTTTTCAATAAGGTGACTCCTACTTGTGTGATCTCTGCTAAGTTATTTAATCTTTTTCATCTTCAGCAAAATAAAGATAATAGTATATAATTTGAAAAACTGGTGAGGACTAGTGATAACATATCACTGGTTCATAACATGCTTCATACGTAATATGTACTTCATTAGCAGTAGCCATTTTTCACATTGTTGATTTTTTAAAAAGGAGTCATGCTTTTAATGTCAGCACATTTAACATTTTAAGGGGAAAAGTAATAATGATTTGTGTGCTTCTCCAGATGGTACAATGGGATTATCTGTGGGTGGAATTAAAAATGTTCTAAAATTATTATGAAAGCTAATTAAAAAATCTCAAGTGCCTAGAAACATTCTTGATTGAGAAGCCACTGTTTATGGTCATAAACGATGGGGAAAAGATTGTTTTGGATGAGACAATTTTATTAGTGTTAATTTTCCTCTATCTGAACCGTAGTGTAACCTAAACAAGGATCCTGTTATTCAAAAGATCAATTTACCCCAATAGGATTGCTAAGGTGATTTAACTGAAAAATGGATCACCAAAACCTGAAAGTTGGAGTTAATTTAATTTGGACTGTGTGAGTTTAAGCGAATGGCTATGCAAAGTATCAATCTTAGCTTCAATATATTTGTTGATAATTTAGAATTGATAATTAGGATATTTGTTGTTGATACTTTTTATTGGTTTGGCTGTTTATATTTCTTTTGGTGCCAGTAATGAAACTATGTCAAGGACTTTGCTTATCTTCTTATGGATATGAAAAATGTTCATGCGTTCACTTAACCTAGTAAGTTAATCAAAGTATTCAACTATAATGTAAGTTGTTTTATAGCACTGTTTTATAGCACCTAAAATTGGAATGTAATCTATCAGAAGACATTCTTTCCCCACTCCATTCTAGAAGTGTCTTGTGTTCCTTGAAGCAGCAATAAATAGCCTAGGATCCTTGCTGAGACTATACAACTTATTGAGACTATGCAACCTATAGATAATTTTAAACTCAATTAGAAGTCTAATGATAAATGAGTGAACTGTATCACAGTTTTCTCAGTTACATGTAATAGAGTATAGCTGTGATCATGTGTTGAATAAATCTGGTGAAAAGTCTGCTTTTCCTCATGGAAGATATTGAGTTCTTCTTTTTAATTAACTTATTTTTGTTACAGATGTTTCTCCTTTTCCCCCCATTGACACTCTCCTCTCTGCTCCCATCTCCCCCCATCTTCACAGTATTGTTCTCTGTGTCCATTGCTTACGCATATAAGATCTTTAGTTTATTTCTTCTCACCTTCCCACCCCCTCTCCCTCTGAGGTTTGTCATCTGTTCCATACTTCCATGTCTCTGAGTCTATTTTGTTCATCAGCTTATTTTGTTCATTATATTCCACAAATAAATGAGATAATGTGATATTTGTCTTTCTTTAATTGGCTTATTTTGCTTAGCATAATACTCTCCAGGTCCCTCCATACCATCTCAAAGGGTAAGAGATCTTTCTTCCTTACAGCTGCGTAGTATTCCATTGTGTATATGCACCACTGCTTTTTTATCCACTTATCTATTAATGGACACTTGGGCTGTTTCCAGATCTTAGCTATTATAAATAGTGCTGCTATGAACTTAAGGGTACATATATTCTTTCTGATTGATGTTTCAATCTTCTTAGGGTATATTCCTAGAAGTGGGATCACTGGGTCAAATGGCAGTTCAATTTTTAATTTTTTGAGGAAACTCCATATTGTTTTCCATAGTGGCTGCACCAGTCTGCATTCCCACCAGCAGTGTACTGGAGTCCCCTTTTCTCCACATCTTCACCAGCACTTGTTGTTTGATGATTTGTGGATGGCAGCCATTCTGGCAGGTGTGAAGTGATACCTCATTATTGTTTTAATTTGCATGTCTCTGATGATTAGTGACACTGAGCATTTTTTCATATGTCTCTTGGCCATTTTTATGTCCTGTTTGGAAAGGTGTCTATCCACATCCTCTGCCCATTTTTTAATTGGTTTCTTTGTTTTCCTTTTGTTGAGTTGTATGAGTGCTCTATATATTTTAGAAATTAACCCCTTATCAGATGTATCATTGGCAATTATGTTCTCCCATTCAGTGGATTCCCCTTTCATTTTGATGCTTGTTTCTTTTGCTGTGCAGAAGCTTTTTAGTCTGATGAAGTCCTATTTATTAATTTTTCCTTTGTTTCTCTTGCCCTAGGCAATGTATCTGTGAAAATTCTGCTATGTGTAATGTCTGAGATTTTGCTGCCCACATTTTCTTCTAGGATTTTTATGGTTTAATGAGTGACATTCAAGTCTTTTATCCATTTTGAATTTATTCTTTTGTATGATATAAACTGGTGATTTAGTTTTTTGTTGGTTTTTTTTTGCATGTAGCTGTCCAGTTTTCCCAACACTATTTATTAAAGAGACTGTCTTTACTCCATTGTATGCTCTTGCCACTTTTGTTAAATATTAGTTGAGCATAATGTCTTGAGTCAATTTCTGGGTTCTCTGCTCTGTTCCATTAATCTATATGCCTGTTCTTGTGCCAGCACCAGGTTGTTTTTATTATAATGGCTTTGTAGTATAACCTGATATCTGGTATTGTGATCCCTCCAACTTTGTTCTTTCTCAAGATTGCTGTGGCTATTCAGGGTCTTACTTGGTTCCATATAAACTTTTGGAGTATTTGCTCTAGATCTGTGAAATATATCATTGGTATTTTAATGAGGATTGCATTGAATCTATAGATTGCTTTGGGTGGTATAGACATTTGAATGATGTTAATTCTTCCAATCCATGAACATAGTATATACTTCTACTTTTTTATATCTTCCTCTATTTCTTTTTTCAATGTCCTGTAGTTTTCTGAGAACAGGTCCTTTGCTTTAGTTAAGTTTATTCCTAGGTATCTTAGGTTTTTTGTTGCATACATTATTGGTGTATAAAATAGCCAATGATTTCTGGATGTTGATTTTGTATCTTGCTACTTTACTGAATTAGTGTATTAAATCTAGTCATTTTTTGGTGGAATCTTTAGGGTGTTCTATGTACAATATTACATTATCTGCAAATAATGATGCACTTCCTCCTTTCTAATTTGGATGCCTTTTATTTTTTTCTTCTTGTCTGATTGTTGTGGCTAAGACTTCCAGTGCTATGTTGAATAAGACTGGTGAAAGCAGACATCCCTGTCTTGTTCCTTTTCTTAAAGGAAATACTTTTAGTTTTTGCCCATTGAGTATGATGTTAGCTGTATATTTGTCTTCTATGGCCTTTATTATGTTGAGGTATGATCCTTCTATTCCCATTTTGCTGAGAGTTTTATTAAAAATGGATGCTGGATTTTGTCAAATGCTGTTTTGTCAAGTTTTAAAAGGTAAACACCTCCACAGTAACTATGTGTAGTTCTTTGTATATCAATTATATCTCAATAAAGCTTTAAAAAATTTTTAAGGAAACACATAGTTGTGAAGGGATGATGATCAAATTAATGAATATATACTCTCTAATGTTACACATAGAGTTAATTTTTAGGAAACCATACCTAATGAAAAGTTATCAATAACAGAGCACATTGTTAAGTACACATTCTTAAAATACTGATAGGAAAAGATAACTGATGGTAACGATAATTGAAAAAAATATTTAATAGAGGATGAGTTTTCTGTGTACCAAATGGGAAGAACTCTGGTGCAGAAAATGTGAAAAAATTATCATCAGATGGACCATAGAGTCAAATAAAGTAATTTGTCTATATGCAAAAGAAATCAGTACTTCCACAATTTCTCTTAGAGATGCCATTAAAAGATCTACTCTGTACAATATTGAGGATAAGTATAACTTCTTAGTTTATCTTTAAGTCTCAAGCATTTTGCATGGTGGTTTATACACCTTTTTAATACTCAATAAAAAGGCTTGAATTCAATTATTAGAAAGAGGTCTTTGGGGGGAAATTATATTGCAAAACCAGTTATTTTACACATGTTTTCCCTCTATATTGAACTCCTCATAAGAGCCAAGTCTCTGACCTATCTGTACAAAGCTAAAAAACTGGAGATTTCTCAAGATGTTTAAGTCTATAATATTTTCATATGGTAACACTTCTTAGAAGCTTTCTATATATTTGCAGCTAAAGATTCAGCCAATAGTTTATTCTGAGGCTGTGTTATAGTTTTTTTAAAAAAAGCATCACCCCCAAAAGATAAAAAGAGAGACTCAGCCTAAAAAAGACTCTTAGCCCTGGCCGGTTTGGCTCAGTAGTTAGAGCGTCAGCCTGCGGTCCCAAGAGACCTGGGTTTGGTTCCTGCTAAGGGTGTGTATCTCGGTTGCAGTTTGTCCCCGGCCCTGATTGGTCGTGCGGGTGGCAACCACTTGATGTGTCCCTTTCACATTGATCTCTCTCTCTCTCTCTCTCTCTCTCTCTCTCTCTCTCTCTCTCTTCCTCTCTCTCCTTCCCACTCTGTCTGAACAAAAAATGGAAAAATGTCCTCTGGTGAGGATTAAAAAAAAAAAAAAAGACTCTTAGACATCAGGAGGAAATAAAAAGAAGTCATCGCTTTCACTTCATAAGCTGGAGTCACTGTTGATAAAAATTCCCAGAAATATTTAATATCACGAATAAAACTATACTACTCCCTTTTAACTACCAAATTCCAGTAAGAAATATCTATGTTTCTCATTGCTCTCAACTCTTCAGAACCTGGACCTCTGATTTCTTCAGGCTGCAGTTCTAGAGTAGGGAGTCAGAGCACCACTATCAGCCACTGTGAGAACAGAAATAAATGAAGAGTTTCCATAAGGTTTCCACTAGGTAACATTCCTAGGCAGACCCTGCTAAAGATCGGGGGCCTGGTGTTCAAGACTTACCTGCTTGGAAGCTGTGAGTTAATTAGGAAAAAGAATAGTTCACTCCAAGTGAAGAAAGTGGAGACCGACTTGTGACAGGATGGACCTGGAGTGGATTTGCCTACATGCTACAGTTTGTATTATATGTTTAGAAATAGTAGTTGAACCTTTGTTTTTTACATTAATATAAACTTTCAAGATGTAAATGATAATACCCCCTGGTTCAGCAGGAGTGTTATTAAGTTAAACATGTGAGTTGACCTAGCCTGGAGCAAGATTTGCAATAGAATCTACAGAAGATCCTGATGTTGGAAGCAATTTTTTTGCAAAATTACCACCTTAGCAGTAACTCTATATTTGTCTTCAAAGTAAAAGAAAACAGCCCGGCCAGTGTGGCTCACTGGTGGCGCATCAACCCATGCACCAAAGAGTCGCCGGTTTGATTCCCAATCAGGGCACACGCCCAAGTTGTGGGCCAAATCCCCAATGGGGGGCATGCAGGAGGCGGCCAGTCTCTCTCATCGATGTTTCTATCTCTCTCTCCCTCTCCCTTCCTCTCTCTAAAAATCAATAAAGAAAATAAATTTAAAAAAACAAAACAAAGTAAAAGAAAATGGCAGTAGAAACAGACATGCTGAACTTGTGTAAGAGAAGCTACTAGATCTTGAAAAGCAAAGCTCTCGTCACTTAGCCCTGACCGCCTTAGACAGCAAAAGCTACCTGGGAACAATGCAACTACAATACCCCTGTCCCTCATTTTAATCAAAATGTATACAGGGTCAGCCTTTGAGAAGACATACCCCGGCCCCTCCATGGTGAAGGTGAGGGCCACTGACCCAAATGAGGGCCTCAAAGTGAAAATCAATTATGCCTTTGCAGTCCAGAGTATCTATATCTAGTTTGGCCTTGATCACCATAGTAGAGAAATAAAAACTTCAAGTACATTGGAACATGAAGAGATTTAAAAATATCCTATGGTTTCAGAAGCAAGGAACAAGGGGTAACTTGTAGCCTAGTATAGTTTAGATCAAAATTCTAGATGATAATGACAAAATCCAAGAGGAGATTTTTACTTCTCTTTCCACAATGATTTCTGAAGATTCTGCACCTTGGCCAGTAATCTCTCTGTTTAAAACACAGGATCCAGATTTGGGAGAAAATGAGGAGATGCAAGAAAATGCACCTTTCAGAATTTAGTCTCCCATGAATAATTACTACAGGCTTGTAACAGATGGAACCCTGGAGTAAACCCTGAAGTACAATGTCACTATCATGACCACTGACAGAAGCAAGCTATCCCTCTCCTCCAGCAGAAGCATCACCGTACACATTGGTGACATCAACAACGATGTGCCAGTTTTCCACCATGCCTCCTATATGGTCCATGTAGCTGAGAACAACCCTTCTGGTGCATCTATTGCCTAAGTCTGCACCTCAGATCCCAACATGGGATGAACAAACCAAACCTCCTACTCTACTGTGGCTAATTCAAATGCTTTACATGAATTTGAACTAGCACAGAATGCTGGATAAGGACTGTTCTTGTAATCAGGTAATCATACAAATGGATCTAAATAATGTTA